CATCCAGAAATTTCACAAATGAATAACAGAATGACAAGGGACCAACCACAGTGTAATGTCCAAGCAGGGGATTGCATTGACCGAACACCAGGATCACATCCCCCACCCCTTATCTCATGTATGCCTGTACATCCCTAAGGCAATTCCCTAGCAAATGAACACAGACTGGCTGTCACTTGTAGCTACTGACAGATAGATTTGAAGATCTTCTGTAAAACAATGAAGAGACTGTGCTTTTTAAAGTTAAAATCCAGAGGCAGCAAATACATGGCAAAAAGAACATGTGCTAAATATGGGGCACCCCCATACTTCAAAGAAGACACAGAATTACTTTCCTAGATTTACAGAAAAACTCCTATTTGAGAGACAGAATCAAAGCCAATTTAGTGCTGCACCAACAAGTAACTTCAGATGGGTCAAAAGGTTGTTTTGAGCCACGGTAGTCAAAGGTAGCAGACTGTTAAGAAGCAATAAGATTTTGTGCAATGTTTGAATTCTAGAGTGTGTTTATGATCCTTTGTCTGTGAAATGTTTGTTACCTTGTGGGTGTGTCATTGTAGCGGCCATCTTGGAACCCTGCTAAGAAGGAGACCCTCCTCAAACTCAGCTCTTTTATTGATGGAGCACTGTTGGCTGGAGTTTGATTAGCTGGGGGAAAATTGAGAAGGTAGTGATAACCAGTATATAGGTGGACTGCTGGCTGTAACAAGCTGACTGTGAAAGGTGGCGGTAATGCACATATAAGTTGTTTTCCAAACACCATAAAAAAGGAAAGAAGAAGAAGAAGAAGAACAAGCTGACTGACTGACTGATGGGAAAGCTGCTGTTTTGCTATGCTGGAGGCCTAATAAACCAGCTTTGATTATTGTACAGCCAAGTTTGCTGACTTTTTCCTTCCACACCAAACCAATTAGTGTAACACAGACAAATCCCAAAGTAAAAGAACTGCTGATTTTTGTGCATCAACATTTAAAAGAAGATAATTTAAAACTTTTAAAAGGGCAGTTCCACATTTTAATGAATAGATGAACCACAGCATGTTTTGGGAAAGTAGAGAAACATCCAGACATCAGAGAAGCATTTATTATTTTGACAATACATGGACAGTCGAAGGCATCTTCTTGATAGGACCCATAGTTGCCTAGTCTTGTCACTGTGATTGTTCAAAAATGTGTGTAAACTTGCATTAAAGGGAATAAATGTCTTATGTCAATGCCATCAGTTTATTACGACAACTATGCCATAAATAATCGAGACCCGTTTGACAGTTATACTAGCTTTTTTGCATGTTACTCAGTTATGCTCATAGCAGTTGCAGTTTTTCATATCAGCCATTCTTTGAATAAGTCCATGAAACTCCTATGCCCTTCTATTGTGCTTGTTCTCAGTCATTTTCCTATCATTTCATTGATAGTATAATTTTAATTCTGCCACACAAGAGCTTCTTTGGAACTGACCATTGTCATAAACAGTTTATGCAAAGTAAGAACACTTTTATCCAATTTCTTGTCAAGGTTTGTTTTATGAAAGAGCCAAGGCACAGAAAGCCACCTAAACAAGACATACTTGAAGTTCAATAATAATAATAAAAAAATACATAACAAGAATGGCAACAGCATATTAGATAGACACAAAACTTTACAATCTGGATATGGAAATAGAAACTAGCAAATGGAACAGAGAGACATGGAAGCTTACAATCAATCGTTTAATAAAATAAGAAACGCTGTTTCTTATTTTATTATTGTATATCTCTTTTATAATTGTTTCCAAGATTAGCTTAAAAAATGTGTCTGTTTAGGTTTCTCTTTTTCATGTGCTATTCTCCTGGTATTGCGACATCTTCTAAAGAATAATTAACACAGATGATTTAATCATGTCAGTGACCATCTGAACCACATCCTGCTTGGGCTGTTGGTAACTAACAGCCCAAGCAGGGTAAATCAAACCTAAATAGAAACAACAAACCCATAAAATAAACAAAATTTGTACAAAAGAAAACCAAAACACATTCATGCAGGAGTACGTTGTAGCAGGAATTATCTAAATGAAACAAAATAGCTTTGCAGGAATGAAACTAAACGTGAAGAATAGAATATGTCTGAATGAATCTATGAAACACAAAATGAATATAAACAAAACTCAAACGATATTAAATGTCTACTCGTGTCTAACCATTGTTGAACCTCTTGTTGCTTTCTAAAAATATTCCTACAAAAGAAAAAATAAGAAAACATAAAATAAACATATTGAATTTAGTGCTTTTTTAATACAGGTCAAACGATTCATATATGCAACATGAGCAAAGTGAACATGAAAACTGCTGAACTCTTAGCTCTAACTCAAGCATTCATAACAAGCATCATTCTTCTGTTAGTTCAGTGAACCAATCACAGAATCTCACTTTCAAAGACTGAATAGGGAATGCATTTTCAGGAGAGTTATTTTAAAAGGTCAAACCAAGTTTGACTGCTGTAATATAGTGAATGCAAAGCTATAATTAGTTTGAAACAATGCTGCATAATGCAACTGATGGGATGGTTAGTGTTCAAGGTAATAATAGGAAAGGTGCAATTTTGGTATTGTGCACGACTGTGACCTGTGATGACCTTGTTGCCAGTGGCAATAAAAAAATATTCTGCAGCTAAGGTCTCTGCACAGCAGCAGAAGAGAGTGTGGCTCTAAAAAAATGGGGTGTTGATGGGACCGAATAACAAGCCCTACCTCCGACAACATGTTTTTACTTATTTTTCAGTGGACAAGATATAGGTGCATACTACATTACATGAAAACTCACAGACATACCATACAACCATTCATTCACACACTAACTCCAAACAGCGGTTTTACTGTGGTCATTTATTCTAACATGCCTGTTTTTGGACTATGAGTGAAAGCTACAGACACAACTCCCACATGCATAAAGTGAACATGCATTAAATAATTTAATGATTATGATAATATAACAACATTTTTTTCAAATTCAACATTCACTAAACCCAATTAGAATATCCAAATTAGGGCATCTACCTGGCACATTGTTATTCTAATTATTAGTGTATGTACATACACTAGGCATGTAATGTTTCATGCTAATGTAAGACAGGAAAGATATGTCATAGTCAACAGTATCAAATTTTACACTGAAATCCAACAGAACCAGCACAATGGTTCTTCCACAGTCTGTGTCTATATGGATGTCATTAAACACTTTGACAAGGGCAATCTTGTCAAAGTGTTTAACCAAATGATTGGACATTTTTAAGAAGCTGATAAACTGTTGAACACAACTATTTACAATTATTTTACTGATGATTGGCCTGTAATTTTCCAACAGCAGCTTGTCCTGAATGTTTTTTTCAGCAGTGGTTCGATAACTGTTGATTTTAGAGCCTGTGGGAGGACACCAGGTAAGACGGTTGAGTCTTATCTAAACCAGCTATGATAGGCAAAACCTTTTTAAAGTGAGCTCAAGATAGAATATGGCGCCAGCAGGAGGAGGAGCTTATTTGATTTGTCATTTTTTCTGTTTATGCCTGAGTTAGTATAACTGTGTGTTACACTTGTTGTTATGATTACATCTAATGAGGAGCATTTCTGATGATTTAGGCTAGAGAGTTTTGATGGACATGACTTTGAAACATACAGTAGTCGGACAGCTACCATGCATCTGACTTTAGTGCCTCTTTTGAGAACAACAGGGTGAAATAGAAATATCCTTTTCTTCTCACAGTGGGGAAGATCATGTGTACCAGCAGGAAGTGCAAGGTAAACTGAAACAAACATATTCACACAAATAAAAACATAAAAACTGGAAAAATGAGAATTGATGAGCAAAATGAGCAAATTTACAACAAAAAACAAATACTGCATTGTCATTACATTGAATACTTAGATTAAGAGAAATATTCTACTGAGTAGGCAATTTAAACAAAAAACCTGTACAATATGGGCACATATATTTGTGCATAAAAAACACGAGACCTTTTAGAAGAAATGAAAAATGAAGAGTATATATAATGGTAAACTCCTACAGCTTCAAATGTTATATAATGTAAGGTATCGGATAATTTCACTTCAGCTGTCTTGTCTCTTGGTGGTGGTAAGAGGGGCTAGAGGCACTGATTATATGCAAGCCTCACTGCTTAGTCTGCTCCACGTCAGCTATGAGTACAATGTAGCTTTCCACCATCAGCGTGTGAAAGGGTGAATGAATGTAAGGTGAAACGCTTTGGGGTCCGCTGGACTTGATAAAGACCAATACAAGTGTTTCATTTACCATTGACAGTAAATGAGCACACATAGGTCAACTATTTTTGTGGGTCACATTATTGATCATGTATAACTCTCCCTTTTGGCTTTCCCTAAAGGAAAACCAAAATGTTTTCCCAGTTATTTTCTTAGCAGAATTTTTATTCTACTAAGAATTAAATATCAATTCTTAGCATTATTAAGATATAACCCTGCTATTTTTTTTCTGTTTAGCATAGTAAGTAAAAATATCCTGAATTATTGTATTTGAATACACGTATAAGTTTTGAACCCCTCACCTGAATTTATTCTGTCACTTTTAACTGTTCACTCTGCTAATATGAAACACTCGAACAGGATAATCATTTTTTAAACCAAAAGAAGAAGCAACAGCCTCTCTGTCCTTTGACAGCGGCCACAATTAGAAACAGTAGTTTATAGGCTATTTCTCATTCAAAGTATGACACTCATTTACTCTGACAGTTGTAAAAGGAAAATATGTTAATAAGAGCAACTTCAATAAGAAAATAGCATGCAGTTTAAGTGGTCAGTCTATCTTTTGATCTATGGGTTAAGCCTTCCAAATACGCCCAACCCCTCAAAGTGGGGATGGACTAGGAATCCATTCTGTTACGTTCATTGTTCTGAGTGATATATAAGGAGCTAATTTTCTATGACAGAAGAACCTCTCGTTTGTTCAAGAGAGACTTCAACAACAGACCAGACCATTTTCTGCATAAACCTTCCAGGTAACTGTGGCGACACTAGATGGGAATTCAGATTTTGTGGAAGTTTAATTTTAGTAAATTGCTCAACAACGCCACCCTGGGAATTTCACCCAGAGAATATTACCTCTTGTTTAAGGCACACAGGTTCAATCATGCATAGATTAAAACATCTGAAACCATTTCAAAATTATAAAAAAACGTTTATTAAATTCTTTTAAAAAATGTTTTTAAAACCAGTTTCCTTTTAAAAATTAACTAAAGAAATCAACGAAAATAGAAAAGCTGCAGCAGTTGAGGTTACCGGCCGGAG